TTAAATTTCTGAAATCTTCCCTTAACTTCTAGCCTCCCTAACTCTGTTAATTGTAATAGTACAAGAAAAAGTTAAGAGGCCATTTTTATGTAGAATTGTCTGCTTTACAACTTTCATGAAAAACTTTTTTTTCTAGCTCTTACCCTTTTTGAGTTATCTTGAAAAAGCCCTTTGTTTTATCTTTTTCCACCCTTGGGTCAACTTTAATTTTAATTTAATTAAAAGTTGATTAACAGAACCATAGGACGGAAGCGCCGAATCGTGCTGGAAACAATTGGATTTTGTTTCCTTCAATGTTCGGAAGATTTTCCAAAAAAAAATAAAAATTTCGAAAATTTTTTCAAAAATTTTTCGAAAATAATATATTTTTTTTCGTCAATTTAAACGTTATTTGCGGCAAAAATGCGAGAAAACCCCAAAAAAAAAATTTTTTTTCCATTTTAATAATGATTAATTATGAAGTGTTTGAGCTCAAAAAACATGACACTTTAATTTTTTTCAAAAGTTCGAGATGAAACTTCACAGGGTTCTTCTAGTTATATCAAACTGTAAAAGTCATAATTTTCTAAAAAACCATAAATTACCCTTTTTCCGTTTTTTTTATAATTCGTGTAAAAATGAAAAAAAAAAAAATTCCGAAAAGTTGCAGCAGCATGTTATAGGAAATTTATTCCAGTTTTCGAAACTGCCCTTCAATTCTCTGTACGACCATTTGTCACCGAAATATCGATGATTTCCGACAAAAGGATCCTTTTCCGTTAAAAGTCCGATATTTCGATGAAAAATGGTCGTATCGAAATTTAAAAAAAAATGAAATTGAACCTAGCTGAAAAAAATTTTTCCAAATCCGTGGCTTCAGAAACAAAAAAAAATTGTAAAATTTGTTTATCGTGTTATTTCTTAGAATTGCATGATAACCGTATCTCCTAAAAGATCTAAAAACTAGAATCTTAGAGCTTCAAAATGCTTTCTTTTAATTCCCGATCACGGAAAAATTTCGGAAATTCGTTTGACCCTTCAATTGTTTGCATTAGCGTAGATTTTCTTGGAGCATGCGCGGTATAACGGTGTTATAAAAACAATGGCCATAAAACCAGATTTACTCACCCCTTAAACAGAAATTTGAAATCCAGTATTCTGAGGTTCTGATCCAAATCATTCATCGTTTGCAGATCTTCATCACTTAAACTGAAATCAAAAATGTCAATGTTCTGACGAAGTCTCTCGGGATTCGTGCTTTTGGGAATTGCTACTATTCCCGTTTGAATAATGTGCTTCAATAAGACTTGAGCGGCTGATTTGTTGTACTTTTTGGCTATTTCGTTCACAACTGGGTGGCCCATTAGGTCCGGCGTCCTAAAAAGAGAAATTTCATGGATTTTTTAATTGATTAATTAAAATGAATATAAAATTTCACACATTCCGTCATTAAATTTACTTACTCTCTTCCTAATTTGCTCAGACCGGGAGATCCCAAAGGAGAATAAGCCGTCACAACAATTTTGTTTTCCTTGCAGAACCGTACCAAGTCCTTTTGCTGCAAATAAGCGTGATGTTCTACCTGCAAATTGCAAGGCGGTATCTCAGAATTATCTAAAATTCTCTGGATTTGATCTTTATTAAAATTCGACACGCCGATCGATTTGGTCAAGCCCAGACTGACCAGCTCCTCCATTGCCTAAAAGTGCAAATAGATGATTTTCCGAAATTTTGAAATACTTCGTGACTACTTTACCTTCCATATAGCGACATGGTCCGTGTTCGCGTCGTAGTCAGATTTTCCGTCGTCAGAGGTGGGATACAAAGTGCCTTCCACGTATTTCAAGCCAAACGGAACATGCACCAAATATAAGTCGACGTAATCAACCTGGAGAGCGGCAAGTGATTCTTTTATGAACTTCTGAACGTGCTCTGGTCTCATGCCACTTGGTGGTAATTTTGTTGTTAGAAATATGTCTTCTCCTGTCAAAATTGTCCAGATAAGAAGTAGGAATACATAAATTTATTGTTTGGGACTTACTCTTTAGTTTTCCGGAAGAAAACCATTTTTGTAGTACCCTTCCAATAACGTTTTCGTTTTGATAGACGTATGCTCCGTCGATATGGCGGTAGCCAACCTCTAGAGCTGCATCAATAGCTTTTTCCAGTTGTTCTTCATCGTCCGACTAAAGCGATAAATAGAATGACGTAAAAATAATTTAAACAAAATATCCACAATAGGTTTATTTTATTCTAAATCAGTGTAGTTTTTTTTTGAGTTTTTTTTTTGATAAAACAGATTGAATGTCCTAGGAACTGTTTGTTTTTGAGAATTAATTGTAATTCTACTTTTACCTTTCTTATTTTTTAATAATTTGCTGGCATGCACTGAATATTTTAAATCTTTTAGAAATGTCAATTAAAAAATCGATAAAAGATTATCATCTACCATGATTAGGTAGGAACATTAAAAATTTACAACCATAATTATAAGCTTGGACAAATTTTGCAGGAAGGACAGTAATGAGTCATTTCATAAATATTTGAATCTATGGTTCATTAAAATAAATCAATATTTTGAATTTAAATATTTGACAACACGATATTGATATTTCATATTTAATTTCTCATAAAAAACGTATGTATATCTGCTCATCTTTAAGTATTACTTTATTTTCCGACCAGCTAGCTGTTTTTTTTTGTTAGTGATTTTGCCGGAAAAAGTACACTGACTAAAACATAGAACACATTTTATTTTGCTGACGATATGACGGTTCTTGAAAATTCTGCTTTTAGTATAGGCACTCGTATATCTAAATCTAAACATTTATTGCATAAGCGGGATTTAGTTTTGTGAACGACTGTACGTCTGCTAAAAAAAACTAGTTAACTAATAGGTATGTGTATTCATCCAAATACAGTCAAATGTACAAGGTCATTTAAAAAAGATGAGGTCGCTTTAAGATGTACTTAAGTCTTGTATCTTGATGCAAATTTTATTTCTAAAAATAAGATGTAGGAGGTATTCACTTCGTTTTCAGCACAACTTTTTTTTTAAAAGTATAAAACTAAAATAATATGTAATCGCTTGAAACATCATTAGACATTAAGACATATTAAAATTTATTTTGTTGTTAACAATCAAGGAATCCAAGGTTAACAATTATTACGGTTACATTATTTACTTTTATTTTTGCATTTAAACGGATGAAATTAATATTCCATATGTTTTTCTATCTCTCTTTTACATTAACATGTTTTTCTTTTGATAAAAGTTTAGATTAATTCTTATTATAAATAGTAGGTATGTAGTAAAATATTTAAAAAAAAGTCGCCACACGTACGGATTCTTCTGCAAATTTTCTAAATCAGTTTCTTCGCATTCTAAAATCATTTTTAATCTACAGGGTATTTCACTTCTCCTCTATATTAATATATTTTTGAATATAAACAAATTAACTGTAGGTACTTTAGGTATCATTTCATAAAAAGAGAAATGGATTGCTCAATTATTAAAAATTGATTTCTGCATATTATTATGCATATTCTGCTTATTATTATTATTAAAAATTGATATCTGTATATTATTATGTTGCATATTATTATGCTGCATATTATTATGTTGCATATTATTATCCTGCATATTATTATGTTGCATATTATTATGTTGCATATTATTATGTTGCATATTATTATGCTGCACATTATTATGCATATACTGCATATTATTATTAAAAATGGATTGCTGCATTATCGAAAATATCAAATATCTCCAGAACTGAACATGATAACAAGATGCGATTTTCACCATTTGTTCAAGCTATTTAATGTATGTATTTTAAATTAACAGTAATTACAGGCGTACGAATTTCCATGTTGTGGACTATGGCCAATTTGTTTTTTTTTTTAATGAAACCTTATTTTAAATTGGAAACTTATGCAGATACAAAATTTATTTTTTCTATTTTATTTATGTAAATTGCATGACCTATTATAGTGTCTGAAATCGGAATTTATATTTCCATATTTTTAAAAATCAAATTATCCATGATCTAAAACCTGAATATTCCAACACCCTTAGCTATAATTTTTCTATTTAAAACATAATATATTAAGTATATTTTCAAGTTTGAAGAAATGGTGGAAATCACATCTTGTTATCTTGTTTAGTTTTGGAGATATTGATACTTTCGAGAAATGGTTTTCTTTAATATCAAATTTGATCGACTGACATGGATCCAATATTTGTTTAAAATAGGTTTAAACTCAACGAATAAATCATAAATGTAATACAGGGCGTTCAGTTAAGTTAGGTAGCACCTGGAAGAAATGGGACACTGTGTAATTAAAAATAATTTTATGTGATTTGACGCAACTTTTATTCAGGACACTCTGGTATTACTGATATTACCAGAGCTGCGGAAGATCCAACTCAAGTTTTACAGAATGTTATAAATACCTGCATTTTCAGCAATATACATTCTTCCGAATATGTAAAGTTTAATTTGACAATAGTCCTAATTTTTAGTTTCTCCAAATTGTTAACATTGTTTGAAAGAAATATCTGTTTGTATATTTCTAAAAAACACACAGTATACTGTTGCTGAAGTCAACGGAGATATCAAAATAACACCTCAATAAAATTGGAATCACCTTTACTCAAATTTGGTAGCTACATTGAAAATGAAAATGTAACTGTATAGTTCAATTAAATTGTCCTTCAAATAGCAATAAAATAAAGGGATTTTTCAAAATAACTAGAAAGGGGTAAGTAAGAGAGAAAAAAATTCTTATAAAAATTGTAGAGCATAAAATTCTACTTAAAAATGGTCTATTGACTTTTTTTGTACTATTAAAATTAACAGAGTTAGGGTGGCTAAAAGTTAAGGAATGATTTCAGACATTTAAAAAATCATAACAAGCCGAAAAATTAATGAATTTTATATGTATTAAAAATTATAACGATTTCAATTTTTTAATCGTTAATTTTTGTGATTTAACATTAAAACAGGTTTTTTCTTTGCCATTAGATTATTATTTAAAATAATGAAAAGTTACTTTCGAAATTCTGTTTTACAAATATAAAAAATCACGTTACATTTATGAAATTGTTTTAACTTTTTTATTAAAAATTAAAAAATATATCTATTTCTCTGAAGATAGTTTACATTTTTTAGAGTTATTAGAAATTCATTCATTTTTCTGCTTGTTATGATTTTTTAAATTTCTGAAATCATCCCTTAAATTCTAGTCTCCCTAACTCTGTTAATTTTAATGGCACAGGAAAAAATCAATGGGCCATTTGTATGTAGAATTTTATGCTCTACAACTGTTATACGAATTTTTTTTCTAGGTCTTACCCCATTTGAGTTATTTTTTATATATTTTTTCAACCTTGTACTTTTCCGTTTCATTAAAAAACCTTGGTCGTGAAAAGTATCTAATTCACAAGCAGTCATAGGAAGCCATACGCATATAGAATAACTATTAGTTTGAAACCCGTTATTATCGAAATTAAAAAAAAAACTCACCAGCCACGTTCCGTATCCAATAGCAGGAATTTTCAAACCATCATTTAAGTCAAAATACGTATTAAACGACATCTTTTCAGGTGTAGGAAACGACAATACCTATTTATTAGACTAGAAATGTACCGCTTCTACTTTGCGTCTGCAAGAACCTCAACCTTGAGCATAGGCACATAGCCCCACTACAACTTACATAGGTGACGGCGGTACAAAATCATTAAAGTTATCATAGGCATTTCCTTGGAAAGTAAGTGTTTGATATGCTAACCTAATTTTTATCTACGTAACGTATGCTAAATCGATTTAATATACGTTTATTGGGGCTGTTATTGTGTTTGGGGTGGTTTTTTGGTATGATTTATTGCATTTTAACCATTGCTTTCTGAAAGGAAATGTATATTTCATGTAAAAGGATAGTGATTTGGTCTGTCCAATATTTCAAATAACATTCAAATAAGAATATCCAAAAATCACAATACATTTAAACAAAATAGACCAGGGCGGATCTGTTTTGAGGTGGATGTGAGAGGGGGCAAGCAATTTTTTTCTGGATTACCTTCAGTACCATTCACATAATAAAAGTGTAGATCCCTAGATCTGGGCGAGGTCAGGAACATTTTCAAAATTGCAAAAATGTTTAAAAAAATTAAGAAATACCTGTTTTATCTGAGTTCTTTACTTACATCTTGGAACCTAAGCATTTTGGAAGAATGTTGAAGCGGAAACAAGTTTTAGAATTGTATTTTGTACAATATACTGTAAGTTAAAAATGTTTAAATTTATTACCGATGTTGCAAAATAGCAATAATTGATAAAAAAGGCAAAATTATCAAGTTTTTTGGATAATTTTTTAAAAATATTTTAATTACTCCGAGGGCATTCTAATTTGGTAAATAAAAACTTTAGAGTATAATAAAACAACACACCAAATTTCATTAAAATCGGTTGAATAGTTTTCGCAAAATAATTTTTTTAAAATTATTTGAAAAAAATTTTCGAATTTTCAAAATGTTGCACAGCCTGAAATAAACCATCTAGAAATTTTTTCACACAGAAACGACCGCCCAACCTTTCAAATGGGTTTTGAAAAATTGAAATCGGTTGATTAGGATGGCCACAGAAAATTTTTAAAGTTAACATTTTTTTTTAAGCAATTAGATTACAATTTATCAATTTGTAATTTAGTTTTTTTCAAAAATTATAATTTTAAAGTACTATTTTTTTAAATTTTATCTGTATTTAACAAAAAAAGTAATTTCCAAATAAAAAATTTTAATTTGTTTAAACAAAAATTATTTAAATAATTAATAATTATTTATATTATAGTTATAGTTATAATTACTGTAAGTAATAATTATATTCATAGTCAGAATGTTGAAATATATACGTAAACAAATTTTTTTATCGAAAAAATGTAATAGCATAGGGTAAAATATACAGTATATGTAATGCATAAATAATAAACTTTGGTTATAACAAAATATGTTCAAATTAGACAGTTGGCATTACGATATTCGAATTTCTTGGCTACCGAGATATCGGATTAAAAAAAGATCGAAATTGGTCCATTAGAAGCCGAGACAATTCAATTTTTTTCGTACCTTCGCATTTTGAACCTCCCAATTCAGGGGAAACCCCGTCCCCCACTTTTCGTGTTTTTAGTCAGCTTTTCCGCTGATTTATCTATGTTGCCGATAACTTATGGATATGAACATTTTTTCCAGCTTAGAATTCGGAAAAACGAAGCCACCGGATCAAAAATTATTGCTAAATTGTTTATAAATTAACGGTAAATGCCGATAAATTTTGACCGCTTATATCTCCAGAACTAATAAACGGAATTTAACTTTTTATTTTTAAAAGAAGCGTCTTTCCGAGTACTTTAAAATTATAATTTCTAAAAAAAACTAAATTGCAAATTGATAAATGTAATCTAATTGTTTAGAAATAAAAAAAGGTTAACTTTAAAAATTTATTGTGGCCGTCCTAATCAACCGATTTCAATTTTTCAAAAACTATTTGAGAGGTTGAGCGGTCTTTTCTATGTCAAAAAATTTTCAAGTATCTAGATGGTTTATTTGCGGTCGTGCAACATTTTGAAAATTCGAAAATTTTTTTCAAAATTATTTTGCGAAAACTATAGAACCGATTTTAATGAAATTTGGTGTGTTGTTTTATTACATTCTAAAGTTTTTTTTACCAAAATTAGAATGCCTTCAGAGCAATTAAAGTATTTAAAAAAAATATATCCAAAAAAACTTATTATTATTTTCCCTTTTTTTCATCAATTATTGCAATTTTGCAACATCGGTAAAAAATTTAAACATTTTTAACTTTTTATTATGTGAGTTATACTGAAGATATTCCAGCAAAAATTAGTTTGCCCCCTCTTACATCCAAGAGGGACATTTCGACAGACCCGCCCTAATCTAATTTATTTTTTTATCTTTTTAGAGTTAAATATAACACTGAAATGCCCCTTCAATGTAAAAGTCCACTAAACATTTGACTTTACTATTACCGAGCACCATAAGTTTAGTCATTCTATGTGACCTTTCATTAATTACGAATTAATTTAAAAAATGGGTCTCTCATTTTCGTTAAAATTTCTGTCTTCCAGATATCTTCATATCGACCACCATAACCAAAATGATTGGGTTGTACTCAAAAAAAGCCCAAAGTGAATGACTCAGATTTTATAACCTTCCAAAACTTTTACTGTAACCTTCCTCAACAGAAAAAACTTAATTTACTTTTTAATTTATTACGTTGCAATTCAAGGCAAACGCTCTAAGAATCGCAAGTTCAATTATTGTACTAATAATTATGTTCTATTAGAATAGAAGTGACTTGGAATTTGCTGTTGTATAATATTGATAATTGTTACTTCCCGGAAAACGTAGGCATATAATTTCAACACTTGTACACAAACTTTTATTCCCTGCTAACGCCTATACTTCTGGATGTCAAACGTTTTGTTAAAGGCCTTTTCAAATCGGTACCGGCACGGTAAATCTAACTTTTGGGTGGCTGTCGATGCGGTAAATTATTGGATGTAATTACATAGCAGATACTTTGTTAAACGATGTTAGGACTGTGACTGTTTTAGTCAGATGAACACGAATTACCATTACTAATGTTATGGATATAATTACGTATGATTGAAATTTAAATATGATTAATTACCCTTAAAGGTGAAAAAGGCAAGTGCGTTCTTGAAATTAACATCAGAATCCTAAAGGCCAATTCCCACATAGCAGCGCCGCAGCAGCGCGGCGCGTCGCTGCAAATGCTGCTCCTAAAAATATCCATATTTTTAAATGGAACAGTTCCCACATAAGCAGCACAGCGCGGCAGCAGCGCAGCGCGTCAAAATTCAACGCCTCTGAGAGCGTTCCTTGCTGCTCTGACCTTCGTCGCGCTGCCAAGTGGACATTAGAAAGCAACAAACACTGCTGTGTCTTCGGCAAATCTCGATACATATCGCTCACTAATTAGCTGTGGGAGAGGTACCAGACGTTTCGCGGTGACTGTTGGACTATGTAATCACTAATTATATGTAGTTAGTAAATGCAGGTAGTTTGATTTTGTTAGAGTAATATAAAATTACTGACAAAACTCTACATTTCTAAGTAGGATTAAGGCAATATTAATAAATTATATATCTAGGATATCACTAGACGAGGAACTCGACATTTTGAAAATAAAATACGTTCGTTCTATTAGATAGTCGGAACACTACTCTTCTAAAATATTAACCGCTGCGCTGGTGCTGCACTGCTAAGTGGGAATGCCTACCAAGTTTTTGCATCGCAGCGACGCTATGAAGCGCTGCTGCCGCGCTGCTGCGGCGCTGCTATGTGGGAATTGGCCTTAAAGGATGTAACATAATTTCACACATATTTACCACCCGCTGTATTAAAAAATTACCAGTTCTAAGTACAACAAAATGTTTCGTAGCAAAAGGTATGTACACAAATCGTACGTCGATGTTTTTCTTTTGTAATTGTACTTATTTTTTGTATACTTTTGGTGAGGCAAGTGTAAATTTATTTGCATATATTGGTAAATAAGGAAATGTCTTAGATTATTATCCCTTCGACAGGGGTCAAAAAACCAGGACAGGAAACTCCTGCCCCATTAAAAAAAAAAAATCCATTTGATAAAGGTGCATAAGTAAATATTTGCTAGTTGTATATGCGTAGACAGTATGTAATCAAGGCTAAGTTGCAGTTATATTTGCTGCAAATTACCTCCAGTAGAACAATTTTCATATCATTTAATGGAGGTATTTTTTATCTTTAAAGACATCGAAAAGTAAATGATTAGTTCAATGGGGTTCAGTGTTAGCTCACGGTGGTGCCAATCGATGTATTTAGCTTTTTCTTTTTGTGCAATTGACAATAACTGTCGTGATTTTATGTTCGACATGTTTCCCATTCAACAGTTTCATGATTTCTCCCTTTCTCCACGTAAATTTTGGTAATTTTTTTTATTTATCGACTATGGTAAGGCGCATTATCCATAACAATCACTGCGTCAAGATCGATGTGAGGGAAAATAGTTGCAAACCATCTCTCAAACACGCTACATTCACTTGATAATGTCCTGTTTGTCGAGACTCAAACACATGTAAACCATTATCCAAAAATCCTAATTCACTTCCTTTACTTTTAAGAATGCTTTTCGTCCTTGACCTTGCAAAACTTAGAGACCGTTAGTCCTTCATTGATCATATTTTATTAGTTTTCTAAATACTGTCCTCGCCATACTACAATTTCGTTCTTTTCTTATATTTTTTCAAGCTAAAGCCGAAAATTATTTTGCTATCGCATTTATACCGCCACATTCCATGCATGCAATAAAAGGTTCATGGTCAAGCAGTTGTGTAACCGTAAATACCAACACAAACCGTTAAATTTATTTAATATTAAAGCTCTTGAAGATATAAAATACTCCGTAATCGACCTGACAGTCGACGTTTACTGGAAACTCGGTACATCAGAAGAACCGACAATTTCGTCGACCAATTCTCACCCAGGCCTCAGGCGTCGACGAATTGCTTGCTCAACGGAGAAAGTCAGCTGTATTGTCGTTAGTTCCATAGAAAATCATATAGATCGGACATATTGTTGTCAATAACCCGCGTTATATAAATCGTCACTCACCGGGTTCCTTACGTAATGGGTGTTTATATCCAATTAACGGTTGTTCTGACGGTTGCGGTCCTAAGTAGTGCATATGACCCCAATGATCCAGAACTGAGTTCGGTCCTCCCACCAAAAGGCACCTTCGAGGCGTTCTACCCCAGGGGACAGGAAACGGGATCTTCGAGAGCTGCCCATTCTCACGGTACTTTTTACAAACATCGAAATCCAGCTCTTGTCGACGCCAAGAACGCTGCCGCCTACGGCTTCCGGTTCGACGGGAAAAGAAGGTTTAATTATGATTAATAATCTTATCATTGTATTTTGTTAAGGTAATTTTAATTGTACACATATGTGAATAAATTTACAATAAATGGTTTGAATATTTATGGTTATTTGTTTGGAGTCGTGTTCTAGATAAAGTGAAAGTTTCTTATTAAAATTATTTGATTATCTGAAGTATAGGCAACCTGGTATACCTAGTGTTGTATTACTGGTTGTATATACTATTCTCATCTTTTTGAATTTACATGGAAAAATAATTAAGTAGGTACGTTGAAGGTATAATGAGGATTTATAGTCCAGGAATTAAGAGAAAAATAAAGTAAAACCTCCGAATACATTCGGATAGATTCGATTTTCATGAAAATTTGGAATTAAGCTTATTTAATAGATATAAAAATAGGTGTTAATAGACTACAATCATCTCTTAATATATAGAATAAATATTGTTTTATATTGTGGGTAATATACGTTATTTTTATAAAGTTCAACCCTTAAAAACTACCCTTAATGATAAAAATATAAAATTAATAGTTTCTTTGACCTTAAAATATTTTTATAACGCATGTATTATAGATAGAAATATTTTCAATAGTTTATGGTATTATAAATTTATTACTATATTTCAACCCTTCAAAAAACTACCCTTATTCGATTTCTTTATTTCCATTAGACAATTTACAAATCGTATTGGAATTGTCAATAAAAGTGTAAAAGCTACAAAAAATTCGTAAATACTAAACACACAAAATAATACTTTAACAAACAACAAATACAAATATATTTATACATCAAAGTATTCCTTAACATCATATATACTTTGTATACTAAATGCTGCTTTAAGCGCTTTTTAAATAGTCCAGTCGAAGAGCAACTTTTTAATTCAGAAGGCAACTTATTGTATATTTTAAGACCCAAGTAATTGGGTGATCTGCTGACAACATTTAACCTACAATAAGGCACTTCAAAATTATTTTTCTGTCTTTTTGTCTGTAGAGTGGATATTATCATGTTTTATAAATTTGTCCTGATTGTTATGTATTTACAAAGCTCATATGTTAAAATAGTTTTCAACAATTTGAAATGATTTGATAGTACAAACAGTACAATACAGTTTATAATTTATCCCATTCTTTTAACCCTTAAAAACCACCCCAAATGGCAAAATGTCTTTTCAATTATTTAAAATGAATTATAATTTTTTTTCGTAATAACTTTCTTTCTCGCGATTTACTTTAATTAATGCAATATTCAAAATAATTATTTCTTACTTTTTTCATGTAGAAAGTCATCATTTCAAATTTTCAAATATTTTATTATGTATACCTATGAATGCTCAAAAGTTGTGGATAAACAAAATATTGATATGCTCCAAAATTGAAGCGGTAAGGTATCGTTGGTTTTTTAACGATAACTTCCTTAATTTTAAAGCAATTAAGACGATCCAAAAACGATTTTACGGAAAATTTCGACAGCTAAAAATGCTGGAAAATTAAATATTTTTTAACGCGTTATTTTTGAGATTTTTGAGGTTAAAGGGTTTGAAAAACATGACCTTCGCCCTCAACTGCAAACTTCTTACAGCAACATCTGTTAATTTTTATCCTACACAAATAAAAAAAAACAAAATATTCTGTGAAAATAAATCTAAACTTTTGTACTGTTGAATACTTTTCGTATCTTTTTTATTTTTAAATTTATTTTCAAAAATGTGTTCTTTTTTGGAATTAAAATGTTTTTTTTTCAATCAAAACGTAATATTTTCAAAAATATGCGTTCTGAACCACTTAAACTTGTATAATATATTGTTAGCACATAAAAAATGTAAATTGTAAAACGATTTTGGTATAAATTTGTTTTTGACAACACTAATAATCAACCTATAGTAAATGGGTCCACAACGCTTCTCATCCATATTTTGAACCGAACTGACGAAACCTAAAAAGGCACAATTTGCGGAACCACCGAGCCTTGCGTTCGAACGTCGACTCAGATAACTTGTATTTTATTAACCGCTTTATGCCATTGTGTTACCAACTGTTTCATATACTTACAAGGCAGTTGTTTGTATAAACAAACTACTCGAAAAAATATTTTTTAAATATGTTACTTCTTGACAAAATTCGAAGGAATCCTCCATCTGAGGACGCCCATGCCCAAACAACTAAGGGCCATCTTTAGTTTTAATCCTAATCGCTTCTTCAAGAGTCATTGACCCAGGTCGGGTAGTATGTAATTTATTTTATAGTTTTTGTCGGGGTTCAGGAACGCACTGAACTCCCATGTTCGAATAATCCCATTAACGGATTTGATCAAAGTCGTGATAAGATCAAAGGGTTTTAATTGGGAGGTGAGCGGGAATTGATTGGTGAGTAAATTTTTAAAGTGTCCAGCTGGGTGTGTCGCTTCTAATTTTTCCCGAGGTGGTAACTAGAAAAAGATGAAGTCATCAGATTTTTTTCTCGAATTTCGTTCTAAGTACTATATTTTGTTTTTGTAACAAATTCCTCAACTCGTTGGATCACTGGACTGGAAAATAATCAGATCTTTTTACTGTTTAGTGACACAATCGTCAAGTAAACTGGGGCAAGTTTAATAACTGAATGCATTAGCTTCATTAGATCCGGAGGAGTTTGGAAATAATCGATATTCTAGTTTCATGAATTCTATAAAAGCACTTTCCACATTGTTTCAGTTTTTCTTTATTTTATAAATGTATATTTTGTCCAACAAACAGCACCAATTCAGTTCAATTCAAGAACAAAGAAATAAATCTGACAGTCGCAGTGGTCGTAAGAAAATATGACAGTCACAGCAATTAAGCATTCGCCACTTTATTCAATATTTTGCATAAGGACTGATCATGGATTATGAATTTGTTAATTGGGCTCTTGTAGTAAAAGAAGAAAATGATGATTTTTTAAATAAAAACAGGCTTTTACTATCCAGAAACCATGATAAATTCAGGGTTTTCTTAAATCAATTACTTTTTAAACTATTTCTAGAAATCATTTTTAAATTCTAGCCATTATAACTTTTTCAATTAAGTAGTCGATTAATGATACCAAACTCGAAACACCTGTTTTTATACTAATAATTATTATTATGCAATAACACTTATCTGGCGATTATTCAATCAATAATGCATTTTGATTGGCATGATTTGCTTTCCATTTCCTGTCCATTCAAAATCACTGGTTCATATTAACAAACAATTTATATTTTTACACATAATCGATATGAACTTTTTCTAGAACTTGTATTGAGTTGAATTGATATTGTTCGTTAAGTGAAAAAACCTCTACCGAAGTAGAAACGGTTAATACACTATTTTTCGTCCGTTTCAAAATCAAAGTTGATTTCGTGTTGTTTCTGTTGAACGTTCATTTGTACCCAACACAGATTAGACTATTGATTATAGGATTTTTAAAAGATATTTTATTACATGATTCGTTCAAATGGTCATTTTATGTGAAAAAACCGCTGAGTGCTATTAAATTAGAGGGTGGAAATAGGAGATAGGGGTGAAAATACACCCCTTTCAGTTTTTCAGTTGTAGCTCGAAAACGAAGCAAAATTTCGCTATAGTTCATAGGAAAAATTATTTAGAGAATTGAATTTCCCATCGAAATGGCTTATTTAAAAAATTTAAAAGAAAAATTTTGTGCAAAAAATCGTTAATAAACAATTTTAAAAAAACAAAAATAAGATTTTTTTACTTTTTTAACACTATTATAGAAGTAGGCAAAGAAAATTGCTGTATAAAAAACTAGATGAGATTCCCTTCAAAATGATGCGTTTTCAAATGTTTTTGGACTAATATTAACTAAGTTATAACCGGTCAATCTTAAATATTTTTTAGATTTTCGTCGTTTTTAACATAATGATTATAATTCTTATTATTTTTACAACAAATTGGTTGAGAGTAAGTAAAGAACCAATTTGTTGTAAAAATAATAAGAATTATTATCGTTATTATGTTAAAAATGACGAAAATCTAAAAAATATGTAAGTTTGACCGGTTATAACTCGCTCAATATTAGTCCAAAAAATTTTGAAAACGCATCATTTTGAAGGGAATCTATCTCACCTAGTTTTTTTGTAAAGCAATGTTCCCTGTCTACTTCTACTAAAAAAAATTAGGTTCAAAAAAGTAAAAAAATAAAAAAAATCTAATTTTTAGAATTTTAAAGAGTTTTACTTTTTATATATAACGACTATTTTATGATAAAATCACCACCTTTTATAGACCGAACCAACCAAACTATATCTTCCAAGATTTCGATTTAAAAACTAAATATCTTTTTACGACTTCGTACGATAGTATGCTGCATTGAAATACCTAAAGCTTCTTCGACTAAGAAGGAATTTTTATTACCTTTCAAAACTGGGCCTACATAGTTATTTAGAATTTATAGTATGTGGTTATGTTAATTTTTATTTGTACTTACCCTTACGTTCCCTTCCATAATAATCATCCTGTCCCCGCAGGAGAAACGTTTTTATTTAAAACAAAGTCGAGTCATCGCGTTTGAAAAACTAATTATATTAATGTTACTCAAACTGGCATCAAACTGGGTAATATGTTGCTATGATGTAAATGTTCATCATTGAAAACGGAGAAAATGTAATTGCAAGATAAAAAAAAATTATAAAATATAGACTGATATCGGACCATTACATATACGAGTCTGTTCAGAAAATAATGAAAAATGTTCGGTTATTTTCTGAACAGACCCCGTATTTTAGTTTTACCTTCTTGGAACAATTTTGTTTTTAGATGCACAAAAGTTTAGAGTACCCTATGTATAATGACAATAGTCGAACAGGAATACGTATAATTATGTCTAAAGAAATGTCATGAAAACCGTATCCAAAAGGACAACGTGAGTAAGGGTGGATATGTCGTTAAGCAAAAAAATAATTATACAGAAGCTGTTACAAATAGGGGTATTTAACTACTCATTAAATTCTATTATATCGTTCTTGGTTTGTCGTTGTAGTAGACACAGATACTTGATCTCTGACCATCTTGAAAGTTTTTTAATATGTTGTTATATTATTAATAAAAACATGTATGATTTTTATGATACTGAAAAACCAAGATCATTTTGATTCATCACTAATGGCCTTGTTTATGTAGTAAAGCTAGACAGTCAAACTTAAGAATGAAAATACTATATGGTGACTTTCTTACAACATTTTTAAACAGTTTTTCATTCCAGTCAGCGTAATATTAAAAATTTTGTACCTTACATGTAGTTTTTGAGGCTAAATATGTGTCCTGTTAATCATGTATTCATATTTCTGCCGTATTTAATGACAAAGTTACAAAAATATACATTTATATGGATATGAAAGGCGACAGAGACATTAATTTTTCATTTAAATAAGAAGCCTTTACAATTTAAAACACTTAAGTGCATTTTTAAAGCCACAGTTGGTATTCCAATAAAATATATATCGGAGGACCCCAGGGCCAACTAGACATTTATGCTAATATCCAATAATAACGGTTCTAAATAGATTATGTAGCCCTGGTCACCGGTTTGACCAAGGGCCTAGGGAAGGGTAAGGCCCATCCAAGCTTATAAAACGTCTTCCTCGGCGCCAGGTCATTAGAATCCTTTTGTGGTCATCGGATGTGAACAGGTGCCTTTTTGGTTTTATACGAAGATCATGACGGCCAATAAGTATCTGGTGAGTGCGATGTTTGTATTTTGTTAGTGTCATTGTTGGCGGTGCAGGGTGGGCCGCAGCTTTACTCTTTTGGGAAATATACAGAGTGTCCCGCGATTTTGTCCTGAAGAGGAAATCTTTTCTGTTTGTAAAACTAAATTTTTATTTTTTATTTTTTATACAGGGTGATTCATAAATTGTGACCAAAAAGGAAACGTCTTATTCTTTGGTGAATTTTAAGGGGAATATTTCCTATAAACTTTTTATCTAGTACGCTTCGTTAAAAAGATACAGGGTGTTAAACTTCAAAACATATTTTTAATTTTTTTTAAATAATTTAAAAACTAGTAAGTGAAATAATTTGAAATTGGGCACATGTATTTATGTAAACATTGTCCAAAATCTGAGGGCTTTTCCTAAAATTTACATGCTCCAGTGGCGTATATACAGGGTATAGGGGGCATATTTTTCTAAATAAAATAGTGCGCCACTGCTTTACGGTAACAACCATGATATTTTCGAATCCGTCTTTCAATTTTCTACTTACTCGAAAATCAGGCTTTTTTCGAAAAGCATAAAAGAGTAAGTAATTTGTAGGAACGATTCCCCTTAAAATTCACCAAAGAATACGAGATTTCATATTTGGTCACCATTTGTGAATCGCCCTGTATAAGGCGTTAGGTACTTTCTTTTTAAAATTAAAAGTAAAGTACCCCAAGCTTTAGAAATATGGAAAAGTGTCATAAGAGTTATTGTTAGTAATTCTAAGGAGGTTATAAATATGTTTCAATTGATTCGTAAAAAAAATAGTTACCTATTTCATATCACAATTTTTCCTTCATTTTCATCTTTTATTAACACCATTATAAGTATTATTTTTTTTCAAATTTATGTGGCACATCGTTCTTCAAAAACATTTCTTTAAGATAACTTCTATCTACGTTTTTACGTGTTCATAAAAATTTGAAAAAATTTTAAATTTTTAAAAATAAAAAAATACACAGATCCAGCGAGTTAAAAATGAAATATTTTAGTGAAACTATTAGGTCATTTCAATTTGGTTCTGACACTGACGAGGGTATTATCAGATGAATTTAAATTGAAAATTAAAAATAAAGTAATAATCTCAAATTTTTTAACCTAAGAGACAGCTATTCTAACATCATTTATCAAAGGAGAAGTTTTTCTGAAAGCTAATTTATCACACGTGTCAATTTGGTATTGGTATTTGGTATTCGTTGAACAGTAATTTTACTTCTTTTGCGGTGATACACGTTGGAAAAGGTTTTATAGAAAACGTTGATTTATTCCACGTTTGCCTGATTGGAAAATTTAAATGTTTTGTTATTGTTTTAAAACATAACATGTTATACTTTTTGTACGTAATTTTTTTAAATTTTTTTGTTTATTTTGTCAAAACCATGACAAATATTTTCCTTAGATTTTTGTTACAGCAAAAGCCAAGTGTACTGATCTTGAAGTGTTGAATACACTTACGCAAAAAATTAAAGGGTCAAAAGAATTTCCGAAATTTTTCCGTGATTTTTGACAGACTGTATTTAGGTGAAAAATGTTCGTTTCGAAATTAAAAAAAATAAAATAGAAGCTAAATAAACAAGATATCTGGTCTATGCAATGGCTTAGCTGAAAAAAATGTTTCCAAGTCCGTGGGCTCAGAAAAAAAAAGAAAATTTGCAAAATTTTTTTCGCGCTATACCTTAGAATTGTATGATAACCGCAGTACCTAAAAAAATTCGACCGAAAGATCTAAGAACTAGAATCTTAGAGCTTCAAAATGCTTTTTTGTAATTCCAGATACGGCCATTTTTCACATAAATACAGTATGTCAAAAATCACGGAAAAATTTCGGAAATCCTTTTGACCCTTTAAGTTTTTGCATTAGTTTAGTTTTAAGCCTTAACCACCCATGAAAAAATTCTGCGTACGCCACTGAAACGGAACTGGGACATTTCGTTAGCAATATTTGGTTACACAGAGTTCAAAAATCAAAGATAAGACGGAACATATCTCGAGACTCGAGAGAAACCCCCGTAAAAACTTGCAGGAATGTTAAACATAAAACAAATAAAGTGTGAAACTAATAAAATCCGTTTTAAGCAGCGGTGACCCAATATTTACTCAGGCAGCCACAAAAACCCGAACCGTTGCGTATGGCCGTCGCTGTGCCGACATAACTTAATATATCGATTCCCTAGTTACATCAAAGAGTATCGTAAAAAGCTGCGGTTTCACGTAACTTGAACCGTTCAACGGTGACGATTTATTTAATGGATTAATGTAAAATATTAATTAATCGTTGCTTGACGTATCGGATGCATTTCTTTTGCTTGTTTATCGTTTGATTTTTTTCGTAATGTTGTAGGTATTGGGTATCTTTCTAGCTATGTCATCGTGTGCATCGGCCTTCTTCGGCTGGGGTTCAGCAGAAGAACGCACGTAAGTATTATTTTTCGGCAAATTGATCAAAATTATAAAGCTCTGTTCTTAAGCTATGTAGGTATTACATTATTTTGGTTCTTAGACAGAAACATACTGTTTATTTATAACCTGCTAACACAGGGATAAGACAAATTATATATTATATACAGAGTGGCTCAGATTTTAATAGACAAACTTTGGGAAAGTACTAAGCAACAAAAATTAACATCACTTTGCTCTATGAACATAGGAGCAGACAGCCACGCTTTGTTTACTTGGATAATATGTCTCATAACTCGTAAACAATAATTCACTTTTCGACAAAAATAAATGTTTTTTTATCCGGAATGTTTCAGACCGTTATAAAATGTATTCATATTCCCAATTAATTCAGTGGCGTAGAAGTTTTACTTTAAATAAGAAAACGATATCCTTGTTTCTCCGCCACTGGTTTTTGAATTTGGACTGCGTGCATACAGGACTAGGAGAAATATTTGAAAAAAAGTGTGTACCAAATTTGGATAAATTTGATGAAGAGATTTTCCAGATATTTAAAAAAATTGTTTTAGTTTTGTTAATTTCAACGCCCTGTATCTCATAAACGGTGGCTTTCTGCGCCTATGTTATAGAGCAAAGTGATGTTAATTTTTGTTGTTTAGTACTTTCCCGAGGTTTGTCTATTAAAATCTGGACCACCCTGTATATGTATATGACAAAATATTCAAAATGACAAAACTGCAATTTTTTTTTTGTAAAAATAATTTGTTTATTAATATCGACAAATGCTATATAATCATTTTTACTCGAAATAAACATCCTTTCCTATATCAATATAGTATTAATGGCTTAATTTTAAATCGTAAAAATTAAATTAGAGACCTTGGAGTGATTTTTTATAGTAAAATGTTATTTAATGCCCATATTAATAAACTAATATCTAATACACTAAGACGCTGGGTTTCATTATGAGGCAGTCGAAACAGTTCACTAATTCTAAAACCATATTGCTTTTATATTACACATTTTTGTATTTAGTAAAATTAATTTTGCTTCCGTTATATGGAATCCTCAATATAATATATATATATATATATTAGTCGTATTGAAATGATTCAACATAAATTTTTAAAATTTTTTTCTTTTAAGTGTGGACGAACTTTGAACGACAACAATTTTCATGGATTGTGTGTTGAATATAATATTATAAGTTTAGCTAACAGGAGAGTATTAGCGGATGTTACTAACCTGTATAAAATTATTAATGGTAAAATCGACTGTCCAAATAATTTGTAAAATATTTTTTAATATACCATGCAGGCCTTTTATTATTTTACCACTTATTTTTCATTCCTTTTAAGCATACCAATGCCTCCGCAAACTCTCCTGTGTGCAGAATGATGCGTTCTTATAACGATATTTGTAACAGTTTAGATTTATTCTCTACAACTCTAGTTTCATTTAAGAGATTGCTCAAACGTATACTTCTTTTATAATATTTTTTATGCTATTTATAATCTTAAAACTCTTTGTACTGTTGTTTGATGTATATCTGTTAATTTAGTGGATACTTTAGTGGTTTTTTTCGCCTGTAAGTGTCCCAAATGGTAAATAAATAAATAAGTAAATAAAAATAGTTCATATAACACAAAACTACACAAGTTGCTGTTGTTCTGCGTTTTTAATTTAACAAGCTTATTTTCATTTTTGTTCACTTCAGAATTTGTTAAGTTTGAATATCTTGTGGATATAATTTAATTTTACTATTCTTCTACAAAAATCGACTTTTTTGATAATTTGAGCTTTAGTGTGTGTTTGTATTAAAAACATAGCTTCTCCTCTAATTGCTTTAAAATTTTACTTGTGCTTGACTTTGTTTATGTCTTGCGTTCTATCTACCGCTAAAACTGCATAGTATATGTACCCCTTTACAGTTTTGAAAGTGCATTCTATCGTTAATAATGCATGAAACCGAGTATTTCTACTAAAATATATGCATGTGCAAATTTGATTTGAGCAAGAAATAATCAACTCGTACAATGGAAACTATGTTTTCGTAAAATTAACAAAGCAGAATATTTTCTGTTCCCTTTTCATGTACCACACGAACTAAAAAAGTGTTTTGCAATTTTTCTCACTTCTAATTACTTTGGCATGAAAAAATCGACGATATATATAATGTCTGGTATTACCGCAATTGGCGTTTCGAATTCGGTTATGTAACGATATATATATGCGATTTGCGACAATACTTAACAAGGCGTTAGAAATCTTGATTAAGATTTTTGTTTTTCCGGCCAAGGTCCAACCGCAAATAAATACAGTGCCTAAGTATATTTAAAAAAAAATTGGTTACACAAAGGTACCTCACTGATATCAGGACCGTACAAAGAATAGCAAAAGTTTATATTTAATTTCAAAAAAGTGTCCAGAGAAATAAACTGGACATAGAAAATAATTTTGTCTTGAATCTTTAACGTTTATAGAAAAAGGGGAAAATATATGTCATTGAAAAGACAGTTAAAATTCAACGTTGCAAACTAACCACATAATCTAAAACAGAATACACTTGCACTTTTTTCTTTGCAGTCCTGCTCCTCAGTACTTCTACCACAAGCGGCTCCTGCCGAGTTCAGGACCCGTCTACACGATTGGAGGAAACGAGAGGCAACAAGTACCCTCCGTCCCTATACAAGTACCCCTGCAAGCTCAGTTTGCGCCCCTACCAGGTGTCCACAACGTACAATTGGTCCCCTGCCTGTGTCCCGTGTCGCAGGACTATCCTTACGACCAGACCCAAACGGAAAATATCTACGTGAGTGCCGTTCCGGTGCAACAGATTCCGTCGCAGCAACAGCTGCAACAACAGCCGTCGAAAGCATAGGTTTAGTGAGGTTAGGTTTGAGCAGGATCTGCATTTTGTAAATTTTCGGGCACGTCTGCTGCGAGTACTCGCGGAGACGCTTATTTTTTGAAGAAAATACTCTCAAAAATGAAGATAATAAATAATTTAATTGGGAATATGCTTTACATTAGTTTTTGGTGAGATATACCTACTTTATTATTATTTGTAAAAAATTTAACTAATATTTATTACTTACTATGCCTCAGAAGACTGCCTTTATTTTATGTATATCGATATGTTGTTGTTTGTGAAACATAAATATATTTAATTAATAGTACACAATGCATTTATTTCTATAAATTTCACTTGCTTCGTCGATTATGTTCAACTAATATCATCGTACGTCAACAATGTGAGTAAAAATTTGTAAGGTAAGTAACAAAATGACAAAATGACAGTAAATATAGCAGTAATGAAAATAAAAAAAATTATACAAATTTGAGAAGAGTAGAAATGATCACATCAGTAATTTTATTACTATTTTTGATTTTGGGGAAAGAATCCTACAGAAGTTCCTTAAAAACTTCAAAAATTTGTAGTGAAATCGCAAAACATTCTCAACTGTAGCACGCGTTCAATATTGTCAAATAAATGGTAGATTAGCAACACCGTATTGTTACTGAAGCATGGTGGATGCGAAGAATTATTCAAATTTTTCCGTGAGACTTTCGTTTGTTGAAATATATCTACATACCGCTTGAACTAATCCTATAATAACGGTAATATCAGAATTTTAACGGTTTAATTATAACACACTTGGTAATTTCGAAATTCGAAAATACGAAAGTCACAATTTATTATATCAGACCATAAAATCATGCTTATTTGTCAGGAAATTTTCAACCCTAGTTATAACTAGAATAAGTTACTTTAATATTGTTTTTTCTTTCTCTACTGGATACTTATCAAATTTAACTTAAAAATCGTGAAACATTTGCAAATTTACCTGTACAGATAGGTATTATTATAATACGAATTAATTATCTCGTCGCCGAACAGGTGTTGAAATAATAAAAATCACTTAAAAAAATGATGTATTAATCAACAAGAAGCAAGTTCACAATTACAAGTTAAATTTCACAC